TTGTATTCAGATTCATCATTAGCAAAGCCTGAAAGCAAAAAGAAACATGGATAAGCAACAACATGTGAGGAAAGCATATATATGCAAGTAAATTTTTGTTCTTTTTTTGGTTTATTTATTTATTTTTGAGCATATTAATGGCATCAAGAAGAGTTGCATCAAGTTTAATGAATGGTGATATGGCAACATGTGAGACTGAATTGTAAAGATTGGAAAACTAATTAGCATGATAGCAAATATTTCAGAGAATATAAAAGAGCTTGTTATTCCCTCCTTTCATGTAGCCACAAGCTGAGCTACTAGAAAGCTGACTCATCCCACTCATGGATGAATGAAACAGAGAAAAGCTTGACTGTCCAATTGGCCAAAGTACCCCCAAGGCAGAAGTAATGGTCATGTCAAATAGGGGTTCATCCTTAAGAGCAATAATACTCAAATTTCCCCATGTCCTAGATTTGCCCCCTCATTCATTGAATTTAGATCCACATGTCTCGTGTGTAAGTCCACTTCAACATCATATCTTGGTGAGCTTATAAAAGCATGTTGAGGCTGCCTTCTAGATGGATGATGCATTACTCCAAAGAGAGAGAAAACATAGGGAGACTATCATGCCTGATTTTTTGTTTTTGTTTTTGAAGTAGTTTATGAAACCTACCTACAAACAAAAAGTAAAAGAAAAATAAACAAAGTCAGAATAATGTTAGAAGTTACCCCATAATTTTGCATGACTTAATGCTTCAACAATTGCTATATGGATTCACACATTGTCGATTTCCAATCCTTAAGGAGCCTCGGATGAAGCAAAATATCTTTGAACGCTTTGAGATTTCCATAGACTCCAAGGGCTATAGAAAAGACACTTACAAGCAGTTCAACATGCATTACAAAGATGGTCATTCATTACAAAGCAAAAGCCTAGTACATCACACTAAGTACATCAACATGGTAGCATTCAAGTCCCTAGTAAAATTTGACTCCTAGATCTCTCAAAGTATGATTGTTCAATGAGTAGTTGCATTCCTTTCCTCGGCGAATCCCTTGATTTCTGGAGCAACATGAAGTGTGATGTGGTTGAGCTTTTGATCTTCAAGGCTACTCTTGGTTTTTGTCCTTCTAAACTTGCCCCCTAGACTTGGCAATTGTCCACGATGGAAAAAATGCTTGCAATTGAAGATCTCGTGAATCCTTTGTTGGTCAAAGCTTTCTCCATGGATGAATATTTCAATGGTGTCTTGACTTATGAAGAATCATGCTTGACCATGTATGAATCCATATCTCAATTGTTGAAGGCAGAGAATCAAACAAGATTATGGGAGTGCAAGAAAAGAAATAAACACGGATGCCAAATAATAGATGAAGGATGAAGGAACATAAATATGCTCTAAAGTGATAATGTGTGTGAAGTTGTATCCTAAAACATGAATTTTTTTTTTTAATTTTTTTTTTTTATGATTCACCATTGCGAACATTAAATTGGCATTCATGGGAAATATCATTCCTTTGAAAAGAATGCAAATGCCATGAAGCTTGAAGAAAAAGTGAATGGTGTAATGCTTGGAGAAAATGGATGATGTGATGCTCCAAAATCATGTGCTCAAATTATTTTGATGCCTAAAAGATGGATCTTTCATGAATTTATCTTTGAAGAACCTCTTTTTCTTCTCTTTTGTTTTTTCTTTCTTTCTTTTTTTTCAAAAATGTGAAATGCAGTGCAAAATGCATGTGAATGAAATTTCCATTTTCATTTTTATGCACTTATTTTTGAACTATGAGATGGAAATAGTAGTGGTTGGAATGAAATATGTGATGAAAACTGAGATGTGAAATGAACATGGGAGAAATTTTCATTTTCATGCTCTTTTCTTTTTTTCTTTTTTTTTTTTCTTTTTTTGGTGAAACCATATATCGTTCTCTTTTTTTCTTTTTTTGGTGAAATGTGAAAAGGATTAGATGAAGAAATATGAGAGGAAAACTAGTACCATGGATAAAATTTTCATTTTTTTCATTTTTAACTATTTTTAAATTTTTTTTATGCAACTTTTATGAAATATGAAAAATATGAGATAGAGATAATAATGCTTGGAATGAAAATTCGAGATAGAAAATGCAATGTGAAATGCATGTGAATGAGATTTTTTTTTTATATATATATATTTTTATGCAATTTTTTTTGTGAAACATGAGATGAAATTTAAAATGAACAAAATGGAGAATGTCACATGAGATGAACATGAAAATATATTTTGCAATGCGTGAGATGGAAAATGCAATGCAATGGACACATGACAAGTGAAATTTGCAAGACATATGGAAGATTTAATGTGAAATGAGTAGGATGAACTCTTTTTTTTTTTTTTTTATGCATGGGGTTGAAAATGAAGATACGAAATGCATGGAATGCTCCGTACCTCAAGAATGCTGTCTAAATGCAAAAGGTGAATAACTAATCATACCTCAAATGTATATAAAAACAAAAACTTGTCATGTGTGGAGACAAAGTTAGTGAAGAAAAATGCCCCTTTGTGTCTTAGACATGGGATTCCTAACCTCATAGGTGGGATGCTAAGGAAACATGTCCTAGGGTTGGTATCTCTTTAAGGTCAATACATGTTTTCTTAAAGGGCATTAGGCCTTCTCAACCATTTATCCATTTGGAATCAACGGGAGATATTTCCAAAAGCTAATACACAGGACGATATTACATCATCAAGTGTCGTATTAACCAATGGAAACAACCTAATGGGAACCGATCCTACTCCTCAAAGCGGGAAGAGTTGCTCTTCCAAGCCAGATTCGTAAGGGTTCCAGACTAGAGGTCGGGTTCACCTCCGAGATAGACTTGATGCAAAATGAGAGTGGGTGTGTGCAAAGGGGCATGACACTTCAATAACCTGCATAATGGCAACCACAAAAATAGCAACATATATCCCACAGCAATCAAATAAAGCATGTAAAGCACTCAACAAATATATCATCCACAAACAAACCTACTTACACAGAAGGAAGGGACTCACCTAGTACTCCCATGCCAAATGCAAAAGGTTAGTAACACAAAGCAACCAACACTTAGCATGCAACAAGATATAAATAATCACACAAGAGGGAAGAGACTCACTGAGTACTCCATAGCCAAGTGTAAAAGGTGAGTATATCCACACACAAGCAAGTAGGCATGTAAGCATGATGCGTGATGCATGATGAATAAGCATATAATATCAATGATGGATGAGCATGTGAAATGACATGATGTATGAACATGTAAGCAAGGTATGATGCATGTCAAGATGTAGTAAGGTAACTACTTAAAGACAAAACAATCAAAGCAACCAC